GTCGTTAAAGAAGCCTGAAGAATAATTAAAGAAATGGCAAGAAAGCTGCATAAGAGAGTTCATGTGACACATATACTCAGTATACATCGATTCAATATAAAGCAGTTAAATGACATTTTGAAATAGCTAATGCTCCAATTTTACATTTTTAATGACATTGTCAGGCAGAATCATCTCTGCTGACATTCAAATGTGTGCCTATTAACCTCCTGTTGTTTACATTTTTTCTTAATTGCAAGTTATTATGGGATACATGTCCCAGTGGAGCCTAAAAACAGTCTCATGTTCGCATCATAGCAATTTAAATAAAATGGTCATATCTAGCTAAGTGCCATATCAAAGTATTCCATAAGTAACTTTCTAAGCTTCAAAGCCAAGAGCACAAACCGAGAGGACGTAACAAAGAATGTGTTTGGTTTAGACGACGGTGCTGCCTGACCAGATCATGCAGGAGAAGGACGCACTTGCCTGCAGGGAAATCACTGAACTATTACCTGTAGTTTTTCTGGCACGTGCCCAGACGAACCTCACAAAGCCTTTGTAATAGGGACCCGGCAGGCTAAACATTTGTTTAATTGCGTTGAAAATTGCATGCTCACATTCGCCTCCGGTGCGTGAGTGAAAATGGCGTAAGACTCTCCAAATGAGAATTCTCGCCGAGCTCTGTCAGGCAAATCTCAGTTGAAAACACAAGCACCAGGCTTCAGTGATCACAGGATATTTTGTTTACCCGTTCGTTGCCAGGATAAACAGTCCACAGTAAAAGTCCGACCTCCCGAGGTTAACAGCTGTGTGGCGACTTTATCTCTGAATCCTGTCAGGCCTATTTGATTGGGGGGTTTTTTTTGCTTTCGTTCCAGGTGGAGATGGTGGTGAGGCTGTGGAAGGACGGCTTCACTGTGAATGACGAGGACTTTCGCAGCTACTCCATTCCAGAGAATCAAGAGTTCCTGGATGCCATCAAAAGGGGGTGAGTCGACTGGCTGAAAGAGGATAACCTTCCTGTTTTTACGATGTCTTCAGTTAGATTTTTGCTGCCTTGCCACGAAGAAGGGCCATCAAATCCTAGGCTTTAATCATGGTTTTTAATTACTCTTGGTGGCTTAACGACCTCAAATAGTGTTCTCTCACTGATGAGAAGGGAGTGTTCAGACTAATAGTGTAATTCTTATTGTTCCTCGGGCAGTGGAAAGTTAATAGCAAGACGGTGTCATTTTTCTTATCATCTTAATATCTTTTTGAGTAATCTGTAACATAAATTTAACCCATTTCTCCTAATGAGAGCAAAGTCATACAGGAATTAAATATAAAACATATTTATTTATATTTTGTGCTCATTGTGGAGCAGATGTGCAATCAGTGTTAGGGAGAAATGTACGGTAAGGTGCAAACGTTTTTTTACATTTCGCATCCAAGGAGAAAGATTTTCTTGTCATTTTTAAAGTGTTCTTGAACAATAGTTCTCCAGGCTTTTCTTCATTCATTAGCTCTTTTT